TTTGTAGGCATACCTAGAACTCGATATCTAGCCAGAAAACTTCAGGGTGTATAACTGGGTTCTTATTTCGTACCCTTTGTCTCACCGCATTTTATAAGTATAGAATAGTTAATCCAGATCCCACTATAATTACGATTTTATCTATGATAGACGTTATCTTGAATACCAGAGACCTTTACGACTATGTTTGTAAAACGACACAGATTTACAGCATATTGCGATTGCTATATCTAATAAAAATTCATTAATATTAATCTGTTATTTTTGTAAATGCTTTTAAAATTCGTGATAACTAGACAAAGTTCTTGATGCGATAACGGTGTTGGTGTGAATAAATTTATTTGAATCTCGATAAATTTATCGAGTTCCGACAATAAGTTCTTCAATATCTAAAATACCAATTCTTGTTGAAAGTAAAGAATTTAACAGAATAACAACCGTTGAATACAGCGTTCGTAAATCTAGTAATTTTACAAATCAAACAATTTAAAAAAAGAAAATTACACGCTTACAATGCGATAAATCTGTATTTTTCAACAACCATTAATTTAATAGAGTATTGTAATGAATAGCGCGGTCAGAGTGTGGACAGGACGGGAGCAGCGTTGGTTTTTTTACTTGGTTACCTGTTTCTGAGCGGGTCGTCTCTACGGCTGCTTAACTTAACAAGTGCATCACAGGGTTTCCCAACCTTTGGTTAATATGGGACATAAATATATACATAAGTACACAGAATATAAAATTCTATATTTAATGACAAACATATTTATAAAATATAAAAGACAAAGTCTGTAAGTTTCATTACGCTAAACCCTATATTATTTCTGATCGATATTATATATTTTACTAGCTGACCGGGCAAAAGTCGTTTTGCCATATATATCATTTATAATAAAAAAATAGGAGTTGATCGTAGAGGGGTGAAAGTTAGGGGTTTGTATGTATTTTTTAATGCTGTATCATAAAAAAATAAAAACAGAAAAAAATATCTAAAAATCAAAAAAAAATATTTAGGGGTGGACTACCCTTACCATTTAGGGGGATGAAAAATAGATGTTGTCCGATTCTCAGACATACCCAATATGCACACAAAATTTCATGAGAATCGGTCGAGCCGTTTTGGAGGAGTATGGCAACGAAAACTGTGACGCGAGAATTTTATATATTAGATTGTAATTAATATTATGTTTTGACTTTTCACATGTTTATATTTTAAATAATCTACAAACAATAGGATTGAACTAATCATAATTAGATGATTTTTTTGATGAGTTTTCCAGTCCAAACGACCGAAAATTTGGAATAAATCGCAAATATTCTTTAAAAATATCGTTATACATAAAAGACGAATATCGTTATACGAAAAGACAGTTAAAACAAAGTATACATTTAATAACAGTTACCCAAGGTTTAAGCAACACAGTGTCGATGGTCCGTTCCAGTCCCCGTCGGTATTAATTTCGCAAAACCGCATCACACGGCTGGTAGGTCATTCCCTCCAACTGCCAACCCGTTATCACAGGATGTCCAACTGACGCACCACTCAAAAATATATGCAGTTTTTGATTTAAATAATCTATACTGTATAGTACATATACATATTTTGTAGTAACTTAATAATATTACTCTTAACACAACATTTTCAATAGTTATGACAGTATTCGTATTAAATATCCTAACACACACTTATACGTATTTGGCACTATAAGTTATTGCCACACGAATTCAAGACTATACAAGCGTATACTAAGCCAACATACCTACGTTTGCACGTTTTTTAGTTCTGCTTTTAATTTTTATCTCATTTAATTGCAGAATAAATACCTACTATATGACTGAAAGATACAAATATACGTAATACTGATATTTCACGTGACTTGAAGATGTTTTTGTCCGATTGGATGTTGCCCAGCGGGCTGTGCCCAGCCGACTATCAGGTCTTAACAGAATTGGGGTCAATTCGAAATTGTGTGTCAGTTGTCCAAAACTGAGAAAATTTACACAATGATATCAAGCTAAAAAATAACCCCAGATAAGACTATCGTTTTCCCTGTAAGGCCGATTTAGTTTCAATGAATAAGGGGGAAACTTTAAAACCAGAATTAATTATATAGTATTTTGTTTTCCCGGAAAAACAAAACAAAATTACATTGTTAATTAAATCTAAATTCAAGTTACGCTCATTATAATTACCTTATTGAATGATTGATAGCTGCCAGCTGCTCTTCAATCAATTTTCATATTTATTGGTCGTATTGGATCCAACCTTCGGGCAAAAAAAGTTTGCTTAATTTATAAAGCGACCTCTAGTTGATGAGGTCGCCAGACAAGTGACGTCTGCGCAGTCAATTTAGTAAGGTGAAATTAATTGTTGAGTTCCCGAAATAGTTTCACTAAGTGTATTGCAGTTTCATTTGTTGAAGTGTATAAGATCTCTAGTAGAAAATATCATTAAATAAATATGAAACAACTCACTCTCTCTTTTCATTCCTGCGTAAACACAGTTAGACAAAAAGAGACGAAACAGAACTTGAGTTAAAAGATTGCCTGTAAAGTTTAGTTTTTATGAATAAGCAGGATTATGATTAATTATTTTATTTATTTAAGCAACCTTTAGATATTTCTGTAGCTTAGAAGTATCGTGAATGTTGGACCTGGGTTCCATTCTCGAGGAAACAAAATTTTACAACTTCTACAAATTGTACAGAAAGATACCGCAAAGATTTTTTCCCTATTGACGGTTACGTGAACACGTCATATTTCTAGAACACACAATTTTCAGTTGAGCGATGTCTATTACCCGTAACTAAATATTTTTTTTTGCGGTTATTTGCAATCAGCCCTAAGGCTATGAGCGAATTTTTTTTGTGGTGCTGTCATGTGGAGTGACTTCCCATTGGAAGCATCTACTCATCTTCTGTCTAGAGCTACTGCCGGTCTTCTAGCTCTAGAATATGGTGACGTTTTAGTCGACTCACATAGTGTCTAATGGTGAGTTGGCGAGCAGATTCATTCGGGTGACAGCTTAACCGCTCTTTGTATTTAGCTGCCAGTCTCCGGATTTCCTCATTGATAGTTCTCATTTTAAGGTGTTCGTGAACTTCGTTGTTGGTTATGAACCATGGTACTTTTGCAACTGCTCTTAGGATCTTGTTCTGTTGTCGCTGGAGTATATTTATGTTGGTATCACTTGCGCTGCCCCACAGTTGGAGGCCATATGTCCAAAGTTTGTTATCTAGAGAAAGTCTTGAGTTTCTTCCTAGCATCCAGTAAAGGCTTTTGTAGCTAAATAAATACTGTATATATAGATTAATTAATGTAACAGTTTTTATTTATGATAATATAGCAACGATAACTATAATCGAATTATCAGCTCGGAATGGCCGCTTGCGCTAATTATAGGTTATCATTTTGATGCCCACAATAACAATCAATTAATCATAACAACATGTATCTTACTTACATATGCTTTTTACAAATTCATATTAAACTTCTATATTCTGTAATTTTTAATTTCAAAATCCGTTCCTTCTAATAATGTATCTAATAGTGATAATCTTTTTACTTTTAGACTAGTCTATTTACTCTATGATATTTATTTTTGTTTATGAGTTTAATTGACAAAGATTTGCTTATGCTAGTTTGCAGTGATGTAGGTGTTGACTATAAGATAATATTGCCTTTAGAAACCGGGCGTCAGGCGCCCGGTTTCTAATTGTAACATATAAGTGTAACGATTCATAGTTTTGTCTATAGGTTAGTATGACTATAATATGTTACAAGACGACAAGTCCTGGGTGCCTATTTAAAATACAGCCTTGCGATTCTGTAACTCACTTTTCGAACACACAGCGGTTTTCGCATCGGCGGTCGCTCTCAAATCAGTCGTGAAGCAGTCATTTTATGATTTGGCATTCTGATAAGGTGGGAGCTTGTAGTTTATTATTTGATTTGAGAGCGACCGCCGATGCGAAAACCGCTGTGTGAGTTTGAAAAGTGAGTTACAGAATCGCAAGGCTGTACGTAATACCGTTAAAATGATAATAGTGATGTTCATCTAATCATATTAAAATACTTATAGAAAAATTGTTCCCCACCTCTGTTCATAGATTTGATTTTTTTGTTAACACCTTTATTTGTTAGTATAATTCGACATCGGGAGCGAGAAAAAAAAGTAATAGACTTTTGACAGGGGATATTTAATGAAGTTGTCGGTTTTTTTATACGCCCTCGGACGTTCTCACGACGGGCCCATTGTAGAAACACGTCCCGAACGGTCCCAATCAATTATGTTAACAGTGATAATTTTACTTTTTCTACTACTTTTTGTGGTACGTTCACGGCATTAAAGTCAACAAACACATTATACGCCAGTTACACGCTTATTATTTATCTTCGGTTCTGTAATTCGTGGACAGTATGGTTTAGTATATTTGAGTAGAAAAAACTTTTTATTTAGATCGCAAAGGGAGTAATATCTCAGTAATAGCGTAGTGGTCAAGCACATTGATTCGATTTTTATTCGGGTAAAAGAAAAAAAAATATCAATGACGCACAAGTGTTTCTACTTCACTACTTACTAGGACGATATATCTCTAACTTTATACAGCGTTCAAAATTTATCTATTAATTTTTAAAAGCGAATTTATCTAAAGATGTTACCTATATTTCTAATCGGTCAATGTTTTGTAATTTGATTTTATCTTAGTATTTCGGTCGATAAGTTATTACTCACCATTCTCAGCATCGACGGTTTATAGGTACCCGGAATAATTGATACGTTAAACCTGGAATTCTACCTAATGTTGCAATTTGCAACACAAAAATAAATAAACAGTCGAACTGTTCAATTAAATTAAGTCTGTTCAACAGATTAAATGTTTTAAGTCTAGTAAGTTAAGATTAATCTAGATGCGCATCCTATTTTACGGACTTTTATTATTATGATAGTTCCATCCATTTAAGATTAGATTAAACTTTCCCTTTATTCACATTCTAGGATGTGGCCGTCAGCTTCCTGGTCAGCACAGCTGTGCGCAGGACTGGCTTTAGCTCTTTCGCTGACCATCGGCGATGGCCGCAGAGACTACAAGGACCAAGAGAGAATGAACTCTGACATTTCTTTATGGATTGACGAACGTCAAGTCAGGATGTTTAGTGGTAAGTAAACCTATATACGTTTAGATTTATATTTGCTTTTCTCACATTGACATAACAGTAATCGTAAATCAATACGTAATAGCTCTTAGCACATTCCTCTACGATTTATGAATATTTTAGCTAAGGTTCATAGTATAGAGACATTTACATTCCATGATAGATTACTATTATTCCTCAAAATCACTCATCAATATACACTAGTTAAGATAATTCTCGTTGGTGCTACATACTATTATAATTAATACTTTATTTATACGTAGTTTAGCTTATATTAGCGATTAAATAGAGTGGCGGAGAGTTTATTGCCACTTCTTCTCTTCCGTTCTATGCCCTTGATTTGAGAACTGGCAGTAAATGTAAAATTAGAAGCATATGTATTTTTTTTTTGACGTTCATATGTACATTGTTACCTATGTGAGTAAATGATTTTGATTTCATTTTATACTAATACTTACAGTTCCCTATATATACAAAAAGACTTCACTATTCCACTTTATTATTCTACCAAGCCTTCACACCCCGTCCGGTACAACCTCTTCCAACTTCTTAAATATTTACCTTTTACCGTCAGCATCCAAGTTTTGCCGTTTCAATCTCGTCGGCCCAACGCACTGGTAGTCTTCCTTTGTTTTTTTATCCTTTTGGGCTGGTCCAATCGAATACTCTTCTTTAATATTTCAACACAGCAGAGTTCAAGCACACATTTCGGGGTTGAGAATTGTACGCTTTAACGTGCTGCCTCGCACTGCTGAATTTCATTGAGTTTATAGTTTATCCATACTTTCAAAATAGTGTTTACAACTAATTTCACTTGTATGTTTCAGGTATATCAATGCAAGTATTTGCTATACAGAATGGAAATATACAGCCATATATACTAGACCCAAACTTCTCACATAAGCTACCAATTATCCCGTCAGAGGTTGGGTATGTTAATTTTACATGGAGATCGAAAAAGAGATATTATTATAATTTCGATACACTGACGTCTTTTGATCTTAAGGTTTTAAAATCACCTATTTTATCAATTAAAACCCAAGGGAGGGTGCCTAAAACGCCTAAAGGTAAGTTTTTAGAATATGAACTTACAGTGTAAAGTCTTTATAACGCCAATCGGTATAACGAACAACTCTCTATAACTTAAAAATAAGTTAAATTTATTTGGTTTAACCCAATACCCATACATTAACTCTTTTCTCTCTATAACGAATAAAATGCTCGGTCCCTTGAAATTCGTTATAAAGAGTATATATTTATTTATTAAGAGAAGATATTTTTACACTATATATTAATTTCTATTATATATAAAATTACGGAACTTCTATTAGTATTTTCTCATACAAATATCTATTAAAAGATTTCCATATACATAAAATTAAGCTACATAATCAGTATTAGCAATACGCAATAGAAAAAAATCCTAAGAATTTATTTAACAGAAATATTATTAGTTTGGTTAGATTAGCTTTTATACCATCAACCGTAACCACCATAACCATCTAAATTGCCGATAGTTTGTTAGAGAATTGTAAGCACCACGTAATTAGGTCGAATGGCGTCTGTGGTACTTAAACAAACATTGTCGCTTTGACTAAATTTAATTTCTACATATGATGCAAAATTTAATAATAATAATAGTATATTTATTTCAGAATTCAGTATATTTTTGCCGTGTATGGGCAACGTAAGTGGCGTAGCAACTTTTGAAATCGGTCTAATCCTCAAAAACGGACGAGGCATCCCATTAAAAGGCACCCCCCTAAGACTAAATTTAAAAAAGGAATGCGCACAGAGAGGTGTGTATTTAGAACGGACAGGTATTGTATCGCCAACGCATTTTTAACACTTACACGTTTGTATTTCGAACACTTGTAAATATTTAGTTCCAAATTTAAATTTCCCTTAATACGCATTACGGTCTTATTCATAAACCCAAGCCCAAATAGCCGTTTTATGTCTATTCACTCTCGTGTCACGTTGAAATTAAACGTGACCATTAACTGTTTGAGGCTAAAATTCCTAAATGTGTATAACTAAATTTTACGTTGTTAGAAATACAAACGTTTTGCTTTTAAAAACTTTTTTCTGAAATATAAGTAGTCTCATTAAGGCTTATTAATTCAAAATCATGCTTTTATTACGAATCGAAAGCCTAAGAACACAATGCATTGTATTCTACAGCTTTGTCGTAAAGCTTTACTAATAATACATTTATGAGTTTAAAGCACGGAATACGAGTCAAATATTACTTTTATAGGTGCGAGTGTTCGTGTGGTTTGAACAATACAGTAATTGACACCGTATTGCCTATTGTTCCTCTTAGTTCATGATTATTTACTATTAAAAAATAGACTAAACAATTTTAAAGTTAAACAGACTTTTGGCAGTTTGGCGATTGGTACAGCCATTATTACACGCCTAAGATTTAATATAGATGCGCTTTATGCTATGCGTAAAGTGCGTTTACGCATTCAATCCAATGCAAACGCCCAGTTATATTTTATCTCTCACTCGCACAGTTAGTGACCATTCGTTTTTTGCAATACTATTTCACTATTTAAGGAATAAATTTAATATCTAATAAATTGGTTTTATGAATGGATATACTCTAAAGATTTTTCAATTTAGTTTGTTTAATCCTCCTTACGACGTTTATTCTTTGTATATAACAATTAAAATATAACGAATTCGGTCTTGTATATTAAATGCGACTACAGCTGGATGGGTGAGCTCACATATCGATGGCATATTTAAGGGCAAAGCAAGCACATCTATAATTTTAATTTGTGCGAGAATGGGTGCCAATATCTGTAGCGTTTATTACTAAAATATCACTGTCAAGCCTGTCTATAGCCCAGGCTTCATTAACCAAATGCCTTGTTTCCGGGCCTCCTCGAGCGCGAACTACGCCTCCGCTAGCGGTGTCTCTGCTGACAGCATCCTATTTTAGGTTCGTACTTGCTTGCTTATATTTATTTTTTAGATATTGCATATCTAACAACTATTAGTATTACAAAGTGCTCTACAATAAAGTAATATATATTTATTCTTGAACTTTCATTGTTTAATTTGGATATTATTTATTAGTTACTCTACTGTTATAACCTATAAGGAGCTTATACACTGAGCTATCAAACTTTACACTGCTATTAACACGTTCAGGATGATTCTAGTGGATGCTTAAACAATATATGAAATGATGGCGCGTTTCCTCATCGATTGGACAGCATCCGTGTCTCTTGAAGAAGAGAAGCTGACCATCTCAATCAAGCGAAGCGCGCCATTTTTTCGTCTTCCTCTATAATGCTATCATTACTTGTCATGCGTACCAAATATCTCCACGAATCTCTGTTCATCAATTAAGTAAACAGTGATTATCCATTTTTAGTATATAAAATGTTACTTTGACAGGTCCAGACCCGGAGTGCGATAAAAAGTGTGCGAATCAGGGATGGTGTAATAGCGAAAAGATATGTCAGTGCCCGGACGGTTATATGGGGCAACACTGTAGGACAGCATTGTGTTACCCTCAGTGTATGAATGGAGGAAATTGCACCGCTCCAGGTGTATGTTCCTGTCCCCCGGGATATCAAGGACGACATTGTGAAGGAGGTAACTTAAATGATTTAGAGCAATCACCAAGATATTTGTTTCTTGTACGTCAAACGTTATTCGATCGTTAACTTAGCATCTACAGTATAGAAAGTTTAAGTAGATTTAGTCAAGTAGATTAGTTAGAAAAGTTTGTTAAGAAAATGAGGTATCTGGATTTAATTTCGTCAATAAACAATCAATATTGATTCAATTCAGTGCGTAATACTATAATTCAGATGTTCGTATACGAAATAATAAAAAGATAACATTGTTTTGTACATACATATTTGTAACACAAAACCTTGACCTTACAAATTAGGCGCACATAAAAATTGGTTTGAGATAAGTATGTACGTGAGATAGGCCTTGGGTCAGATAAATAAACTGTAATCATTTGGTAACCTTTTATTGGACAAACCAAAAATGTTAATGTATACAATTCCGCAACCCAAAGTGCTGTTGAAGTTGCAAGGAAATAGCTAGTTAATAATTAATGTAAGACACTGTTTTTGTATTATAAGATTTTGTCTTAAGAGCTTAGCGGACCGAGCGCCACCGTTCCGTGAACTATATTATTGGAACAATGTGGCTGCATTAAAATTTGAATCGAAACTGTTTTTCTCATCATAGCGCAAACTTTTTCAGTCATGTGTTATTAAAACATTAACAAATATTCTACTTTTTTGTGGTATTCAACAAAAACTATACAATATATGAATTCAGTTCGATAAACGTTGAAGTTTTGCCTTTAGTTCAAAAACGCGTGGTGCGCTGCTAAAATTTTCCGACAATGCCTCAATTGTAAATATTACACAAGCGCATTAACAAATAGTACTTAAACACTGCCACTGAGCGCTTTCCTTAACGTTACAGTGTTGTTTCCTAAATTGGGAGCTGAAAATGTAAGACGTAAGATCAACCGTTTTATTCGATGATTTTTGGTGTCGTAGATATTGTTGACCAATCACAAGCGAACAAATCACTTCTATTCGTCTTTTGTTTTACATTCTTACCGGCCCATTTATTGTATGCAGAAAAAACAGTGGCGCTAAACTTTCTAGGTTTGGGCCTCAGATGTTTGAAACGGTTTCGGCAAAAAATCGGCAAGTAGGTGATCAGCCGTGTGTGATGTACTCACGCCGTGGACTTGACACGTCGGTTTCATTCACTATAATGAATATAATATATAACATCAATAAAAAAGTGTTAAAGCAAACTAATATTTATTCCTATATTTACAAAAATATGCCTTTTCCATTATCTATATCTATTATATCTTCTTTGATATAGCAATGGCAACTTTGCATCCTGTTTTAATAACTTCAGTAAGGGCCTGATAGAATGGTGCTTGTTCTGCTCCATGGTCTATTCCTGTATCGTGGTGCTCCTGCTCCTCATTGCGGAACTGGGTGATGGTGTCCAGTATCTCCTTGTCAATCTGAGGGTCCTCCATTAAAGTTCGAAGCTGGTCATTGTAGTGGTCAACTATTACAGTCTCTACTGCTACTGTACAAGCCATGGCTGCTTCTTTGCCGAGTAAGGCTGTGCCTAAAATACATTTTTAACTTTGATTTTATTGGCTACATGATTTTAATAATCAGATTATTTATTAGTGAGTAAAGAACCTACACAAATTTTGTCACAAAAAAACTATTTCAATGGCCAGTATGAAAAATAAAGTGTTAGAGAATAATAACTTGTAAATAATCAATAATTTATAAAAAAAAATAAGGATTCATTTTTATACGTCAGTCACGTGACACAGAACGGTTACAGATTCGGAAGTCACTTTTTTTTTGGATACAGTCAAATAGCATAAAAATTTAAAAGTATCACATGTATTATGTGTATGCGTATACTAATAATTAAAAAAGCGCGAAAGGGAAAAGAAGTCTAAGATAGAAGCTTATCATAATATCTCTGTAATATAGTTTAGAAACAGCCTTTACCAGTACCTTTAGGTAAAGGCTTTATTAAATAGTATGGATTTTGCGTACATATTGTTACAAAATGGGTTGAATTAAATCTTTACGATTTTTCTACAACTTAGAGACGTTTTTAGCAAATGTGGTCTATTACCGTTTGAAAAGAGACTTATAGTAATACTTGAAATTTGAAATAAAACTCATTTTCAGGACTGGTATACCCTTTTGTGTAGAAACATTCTAGACCTTGCTAGGTGTAGGATAAGTACGGAATGATGCGCAAGACAGAGGGAAGGTCCCTTACTCTGTAACTTGGATATTGAGAGAAGTATATCGAATTAGCATACAAAAACGTTGGTCACGGGATCGCTTTCGCTATTGGAAGGTACTGAGTAAGGGCCTGAACCATCTCGAATGCAGTAATTAGTGACACTATTTTTGTGGGTGAAATTAATGTATTGTTGGGAATAAGTGTGATTTTTATGTGTAATTCCCTTCCTTATTAATTGTTTTAATAAACATCAAGAGGTCTACGCCTTTTCTCTCTGATCTACTACAGTCCTAGAGTACAGAAAAGACAATTCATAAAACCATGTTTAAGAACTGAAAATGTAAATACAAAGAATATACAGGGTTGTTAAAAACTAAGTATAAAGTGCACCTGCTCCAAGGGCGAAACCAGCTATATTCCACAGTGGTGTCATAACTGTAGGTCGGACTCGGTACTTTGAAATGAGTTCCTCAAATTTCTGTCGATGTTTCTTCTCTTGCTCCCACATGTGTTGGATCAGAGGTCCTTCCTTTGACGTACCCAAAACTGCCATCTGACCCGCATATATGCGGTCAGCACCTAACTCTCCAGCGTGATCGACTCTAATTATTTCATCCAGCTTTAAAGAAAATACAACTTCATTAATAAACAAAAATCTTCTCTTAACGAGGTTAAGCATCCACGGCCTGGATAAATTATTGTTTATTCAGGATTTGTATTATCAGGAATAGGTATCCTTGACATATATAGAGCTGAAAAGTCACAGGAGTATCGTTTCGATTTTAGAATTGAAAATTTTACATACATGGAACAGGCTTCCGGAAAGTGTAATCAGTGCACCATCTTTGAACTCATTTAAAAATAGATTGGATAGTTTCTCAAAATCTCAAAATACACGCGCATCAGCTTATTAAGCTGCTAGTGTGTTTATATACATAATAATAATATATTTTTATAATTCATTTGTTAACTCATTTCATAGTAATTACTAAATCTTATAAATTCACTAGATAGATCTTAGGCAATAGAAAAGTAGACTCTACTTTTCATTAATATCATAATATATTGTTGTGTAAGGAATATTGATAAAGTTACGTCATAAATATTTTATGAGATCTTACATGTGGATTGTTCTTAAAAGCCGATGTGTGTGCGCGTCGGGCGTGACGCAGTAGTGGTGGTCGCAGCATCCTTAATCTGAAATCATCAATTTTGTTTCAGGTATCTGCTCGCAAAAGTGTTTAAATGGTGGCAAATGCATACAGAAGGATACATGCGAATGTCCTAAAGGATATTATGGATTGAGGTGTGAATTTTGTAAGTACAAGATGTAATAATTAAAAAAAAAATGGGTTTATGTTTCCTTTGTTGGATGACAAAGTGTGGATTTCATGTCCTAATGGACAAGGAGAAATCACTAGCAAGTAACATTCATGTTGAAGTTTCACAATTATTTCAATAGATTAGATGAGTTGGGTTTTGTCATTTATTTGTAAAAATGTTTTTCCCCAGCAAAGTGTGTGATCCCATGTCTGAACGGTGGTCGCTGCAAGGGAGTCAATAAGTGTCGTTGTCCACCTGGGCTTGGAGGCAATCACTGTGAGGTGGGGCGAAGAGGAGGGGAATGCACAAGAGCATGCAGACATGGAGTATGCCGGGGAGGCGCTTGTCTCTGCGAGCCAGGCTGGCGGGGACGATATTGCCATCGTACTTATGGTATATTTGAGGATTTAGATATCCTTTGTCTTATCTTAGATTTTAAGGAACAAGGTGATATATTTTAAAGTGCTTAAATGTAACAAAATGTGAAAGGTTTCCTTTTGATAACCAAATTTTCTGAGAGGATTGAAGTGAACTCTGTAAAAAATTCAATGTATTAGATTTTGGCATTTATTATTAGTGAGAACAATTTATGAATCGGTTCTATCTAATATCACATTTCCTTAATAAGCACATTATTTTTACAGGTTCTTCAGAAGAATCTGGAGAATACAAAAGGCCTCGGTGAAAGGAAAATTTGAGCTTAATATATACTTAAAAACATGTGATTTAATTTAGGAATTTATGTAAATTACAAAGTGTAATAATTTTAGTCATTTATCTGTTAAGGTTAGCATATGTTTATGGATATTATATTTTTTTAAGGCAAAGAATAACATTTGTATTTTTATTGTGGTTTGTTTACACCAGGAAAAATAATGTAATTTACATTTAATCATAGAATATACTTGGAAAAAGAAGACCAGAGGTTATTTTTTGGTATCACTTTATTGGAGTTAAAATATTTTATTTCTTTTTACTAAAATAAATGAGCCCGAAGGGTATAAAAATTTATAAACTAATTTATTGGCAACATAATAAAAAAAGGTGCCCAAAACAAAAACTTACATTGCCTCTTTACTTGTGGAAACAGCAAAATTGGTTCAAATTGTTCAGAACAAAATATGTTTTGGAATTTCTTAAACCAAATCCGAAATCTCCAATTTTGAATCACACTTCACTTCATTTCTGTTGGTGTTTTCCTGAAAATTCCGTATGTAATGATAATTTGCGACGGAATACTTTTTATTTACGAGTTTAATTTGACAGATATAATAAAAATCACCTTGCATTCAGAGTTGCCAGCTGTCAAATTTAGTTCATGGAAATAGCAATAGATTACGCTACTAGTTGACACAAAGCAATGTTTTCCAAAATAAACTTCCAATCGATTTTTTCTCACTGTCATTCTTTGAATTGACTAAAATAAACATTCTAGAGAAAATTCACATCTTAAAACGGTGAGTATATTCTATAATGAATAAATAAAACTATATGTTACAAATACATGAAAACGCTACCCCCCGCAAAGCGAGGGGCTATTTCCCTTTCCATCCGAAAAGAAAATTACCGCGCAGGCTCGTACAAAATGGCGTCGTTTAGTTATGAAGTGTACAATGTTCACATATCGAACTTACCGATCGATATCAATGGAGGATTCGCGTTTTTCGGCGATCCCTGTGCTCTGTCTGAATTAAGTGTTTTCGGTGTCCAGTGTAGAGTTAAGGTATTCAAAGGTGCCTTTTTGAAGAAGTTACATCACAGTGGTCTTCCGGAGCCTGAAATTAGAGTATAAAATGTGTTTCAAATCACGCAGGTGCGTACGCAGTCGTAGTCTTTCTATTCTATCTGGGCCTGCTCGAACGCGCTACCCCTTCATGATGGCCATTCATTTGGGTTTATCCTTTACGCCGCCGCAAAAGAGTTTATGTCATTCGCTTGCAATATTGACCCGGCGCAACTGATTAAAAGCAAATGCATTTACAGAATAATATGAAAGAGAGTGCATAATGACACCATGCCCAGCTATTAAATTATTAGTCTACGATATCTCGAGCTATTACTTTTCATGCTGTTATTAAACCTAAATACAAGCATAGGGTTAATTGTTTTGTTTCGAAAGATTTTTAGGAATTACTAATGGAAGTAATTCTAGTTATAGCTTTAATGCGTAACTTGAACGAGTATTGATTTTTCCTATTGTACAAGTGGCTTATACAATAGACTTCTGTCTCTAATTATGTTAAACAAGCCATTGACATGAATCCCTATATTTATCTAATACATAATTCATTAATTACGTTTAGTTTATCCAAGAGCTTAACAAAATTTATTTAAACATAACTAAATTACGAAGTTAAACTTGGTTATACTTCCATAGGTATATAATGTCAAAGGTCACACAAACTCTGCTTAAGGCTTTTATATATATATATTATATAAGTATATAAATAATTAATAGGAACAGAAGATCTCTTAACTTGAAAAATAAACAGTTTTTTTAAATATTATAAAAAAAAACAATCCATATTGTTTCAAACAAGTGTTCTTTATAGTATAGGACATTATTTCAAATCAATTCAACTGATTGATAACACCTTATAAAAATTTCAACTCCACTGTGATAAAAAAGGGGTTAAATACTAACTGTTTTAAAACAACTTTTTTTAATGATGTCTCAAATATCTTGCTCAAAATTTATAAACATATATTATTTTCTTTTAATATTTTTAAACTCAGATCTAATGATATAATATAATCATAATAAAATTTTGTTTTTTTTTATAAAGTATATTTCGAGTATTAAGAAATTTATTTTATAAAACAAACAATATGTTGTTATGTCTTCTCTGTCTACAACAAATAATTAGTTTACTATGATTTTGCTCATTAAACTGGGCTTAGTGCTATTTCTTATATGTATATATTTATTTTTGACCTGCCTGGACTTTGCAAGGCTGATCATTTGTTTATATTTTGTAAATAATTGTAGCCTTAGGTAAAATAACAGCAATGTAATGGTTAAAATCAAAATATATCAAGGGAGTTTTCAAATTGCTTCATAATAGTAGTATGGATTGGAAGGGATGGCTATACTTTTGCATAAAAAAAAGTATTCTTAGACTTTATTTTTTTTAATATATACTATTCCTGTCATTCTAAGGTGTGTAAAATATAAATCTAAATAATAAGATTTATATCTTAATTATTTTATGATAATTGTCAACCTATTACAATACTGAGCAGATACAGCACATCTATTGACTTATTACATTTCAAGATTATTTGGGGGTTAGTTGGGGCTAAAAGCACATCAAAATATGCTTTCAAGACAAGAAATAATATTTTAGTAAACACTTTATTCTTCAGTTACTTAAAAATTTGATATGTTAAGTACATATATTACTCAAAAACAGGTGGCAAGCTGTTAAAGTACATATATTTATAAACAATAAAAAACTAATCTTCTAGTGCTTAAAAGAAAACTTCACCAAAGTTAGAAAAATTGCTTGTTGAAACTGAGCAACCAGTGCCAAATGGTCCTGGATAACAAGCAGGACGACGATTCAGACACCAACATGAACTCCTTAGTCAGCACAGAGTCCATGGACACCGGAGAAGAGGTTTGTAATTTTTTGTCTAAAGTAAAGTATAGAATAGTGTTTGGGGTAGATATTTATCTGATTCACTAATAATTTGTATCAGATGGCCCAAATTTGGGGTTGTGGGGTGGTGAGGAAGGGGGGAAGGGTGGTAGTAATCACCCCTTCAAATTTTGCGCGCCGGAAACAAAAAATTTTTTTTTAAAAATCTCACCTATTTATCTACTCCAACTCGGTTCTTGGTCGCCTTCGGCGACCAAATATTCATATACTAACCTAACCTAACCTAACCGATCTAAATAATATTATTTTTTTGGACAGCTCCGATCTAAATAATAATTGTTTATTCAGCCCTCGGCAACTCGGTTTCTTGGTGGCCTTCGGCGACCAAATATTCATATACTAACCTAACCTAACCGAACTAAATAATATTTGTTTTTTGGACAGCTCCGGCGCTGGGGGACGGGAAATGCAGCCCCTCCACCCTTGCGTACCAAAGCACAGGCAGTTTATTCAAGCCTCCGCAACCTCGGCTTTCGGGGTGGCCGCCGTCGGCGACCATCCTCAGCCGCTACAGCTTTCATAATGCCTGTGCTTTGTTACAGCGGGTGGGGGATGCTCTTCCTCCGCGCCTCCCGATTATTTATAAACACTCTAGGGGGTAAGGCAGACAAGACCACGTGGATAGTGGGGTGCTCTGATTGTTTTGGGTACTTTTGAATAATTTAAAATTTTCGGAACCATACATTAATTGAAACATAAGTTAATCTAATGTATTACATTTGACAAGTAATATTAAATTAGGTTCAACTATAAAATTAACAAATCAGAAAATAATCGATCCGATTTAATTTACCGAGAATGTCACCTCACTTATAACCAACAGAAAACGAGAATGACACATCTCTTATAACCAATAGAAAAGTAGATAATGGTGGATTGTTTACAAATTTCAATACATTTCACAAAACTTTAAATTTTTTTAAAAATATTTGACGCATTTCCGGCAGCTAAAATTACTTGGAGGTTTCCAATCAAGGTCCCCGAGGGGCTCCTGCATAATCAGTATCATCAGATTCCAACGCACTATTATCGCACCCAACCCAAAAAATTTTGTCTGGCATGTTTTGAGAATAAAACAAAATAAAAATTTAAGTGTTTTTTTTTTACAATAGGATATGTCTCAAGTGGATGGATGTGGGTTAAGTGGTGCATCTGATGATGACGAAGAATGTGCATCCTCACCAGCTGGCTCAGCATATGAAGATGCTGGAGATGTCATCAAGAGTGCTATGAGCGATGAAGTCACCAAGCAACTTGCAGCTGCTGGTCAGTATGTTGTTACAGCCTTGGCTTTTGATATACAATCAGAAATAACATTGTCTAGATAAAAATCACTTAAAAATAACATGTATAACACTTTTTTTACTTTTCACTTTCCGGGAAGTAGAATAATTTGTAAAAAGATTGAATAAGTCTGATCATTAAAATGTCGAAACTGTATTCTACTTTTTAGTTCAATCTAAATAATTGTCAACCCTTTTCAAAGAATGCAAATTGATTTAACAGAAATATTCGTTTTATTCATACAATGTACTAAAACGTTTTATTGTAATGAAAAAATTTAACCTAGTTTATAGATTTGTACATCATAATTTATGAATTTTATTTATAACTTAGGTCCCGTGGGGATGGCTGCTGCAGCCGCTATAGCATCATCAAAGAAACGTAAGCGACCACATTCGTTTGAAACCAACCCGTCAGTAAGGAAAAGACATCAAAATCGTCTACTACGAAAACTTAGAGTGAGTATTTTGTATTACTAAAGAAATATTATAATAAAATGTCTAAAATTTAAAAATCTGCATCAAATATTTGTTCGAATTTTTCATAGTATTTTGCATAAACTTGCAAGGTGTTCTGCAATACAAAGTATGTACATTCATATACAGACATTGTTAAACTCGTGTTTGGGCTACTGTTTTGCGGTTTCTAATTCAGAATCCGTATCCTGGTAATGTATTTCGTCTGGAATCAAGTTTACCGTGCATGCTAAAACGATTTAGCTATGACTTGATGAGTGCCAATTTCATATTTATATATGACTAGCGACCCGCCCCGGCTTCGCACGGATGCAATGCTGATACTAAATACACTAAAGAAAAATTGTGAACGTTGTATATAAAAACATAGCGTGTATCAAAAATATAGCCTATGTCACTCGCTGAAAAAATTATTAAAATCGATCCATTAGCTTTGATTTATTCATTACTGCCCGTGGCCCGCAGACGTTAAATTTGGATATTTTGATAAATCTCGTAGGGTTCAGCCTGCGTTTGCAATGTAAGCGGAAAAAATGTAATAATTTACGACATCACATTAGAAACCTCAAAAATAACGGTATTTCTCCACTATTTAATGGATGTTATTATACACATAAACCTTCCTCTTCAATCACCGCATCAAAATCCGTTGCGTAGTTTTAAAGATTTAAGCATATATAGGGACAGAGAAAGCGACTTTGTTTTATATTATGTAGTGATGTGTCAGCCTCGAGCACATTGAAATATCTTGACTATATTTAATCGTGCAAATTCTATTTTCATTTGGTAAATGACTTAATTGCTATTATTTACAGCTTCGTACTGGATATTTATTTTGTACGTATCGTTTTACGGACGTTTTTGTAGATGTTGATGTCTTCTATATAAGTGTAGTAAATCACTTTGCTCTACTGTCAATAGTTTCCGCAGCGGATGCGATTCAGAGTTTTTATTAGTTTACTCCTTGGGTTGCATTATCGAAGTTTTCATACAGCTTTTTTTAAATATTCTATAGTCTATGCTCCTCAGGGATAGTGAAGGATTCTAATAATGAAATAATTTTCAAATCGGTCCTGCAGTTTTATTCGCAAACAAACAAATCCTTCCTCTTTATAATATTAGTGTAGAAGCAAGATGTTGAACTACACTTAGAAGCCATGCATAAAAGGCATGCATTCGTATACATTGGGATTGTATAGTATTACGTGATTCAAACTTGGGGTCAATAACCGACCAGGGGTCGTGAACTGTTAACCTGACCTTTCATTTATAAGCGAAATACACGATTATGACATAAATGTGTTAAATTGAGTTGAGAGAATCTGTTAAAGAGATCGTTTATTAGATTTCAATTGGATGGATTGGATTTCATTTATATACTTTTACCAAGTGAGGCCTTCAAACATCTTCTTTTTATTTTGTAAAAGAAAAATGTTACCTTAATAGGAATTCATACAAATTTCGTAGATTTAATTGACAAAAATGAAACATCAAAAGACTAGGCAAGGTGTTCCATAGCTATGCTAATGAACTTAATATTTTAATAATTTAAAAATTATATGCAAAGTAAAGTGTGGGCTCGTAAACTCGATGTTTAAGTAGAAATAAGGCCGATAGGTCCGTAGAAATCATTTCGTATAGTGAAAAAGAGACTGACTCAATGCTATCCGACATCTTGTTTAAAAAGTAGTTTTTGTTACTTAAGATACTTTTATATAGACGTTGCTAAATACATCAACTATTATATAATTTACATTACATTTGTTTGGTTTCTGTCTAGAGACAAGCAAAGCCGCTTTTAAAACACGCAATAATTTGCAACGTGTCGCTGTATTTATATTATTATGAAGGCTTTTTATTACAATTACTCGTTACAGTTACAATATGAATTTGTGAAGTAAGTAAATAAGTACCATATATCTAATCAGACACTTAAAATGCTACCAATTAGTACATATTAATCCATTATAGATAATATTTTTATATAGACATCTGCATATAGTCTAAAATCTCATATGATATTCTTTTATTGGACAAATGTTATGGCGCGTCTAAACGGGCCATGTTTTGCTGCAATTGATGGCTGCACTGTTGGCCACTAATTGCCCGGCCATTACAAAAATATTTTAATGCAGCTGATGGCCGAACAATCTATGGCTGGGCAATGTGTTGCAATATGTCTGCAATAGTATGGCCCATGGTGCAGACTCCTAAACGGGCTACACAAACCGGCAACAATGGCTGACGAAATCACACTTGTCGCAGCAGCTTATATTGTTTTAAAAAAGAAACAGAAAAAGAAGAGATTGTGGATTCGACCTTACTTAAATAGGCGTGAATCTGTAGACAATTTGAGTCTAGAAATAAGTCTTGATAATAAATTATTCAAGAACTAGAATGTCAAAAGCAGTCATTTTACGTAGTAATCTAACGTCAAATACAGCTGATCGCAAAACACAGAATAATAGCAACAGGCACACTTCACTCATAGCAAACGTCATGTCGCGTAGAAAAGGATACACTGTGCCATAACAAAGAGAGTGACTGAAACAACAAGAGAACTGGCTGTGCAATATTGCAGTTGAATTCGATAGCCTAGCGATCGTCCGGCCACCCATCGGGGCAACATCGGCCATATGTGGCTATACAAAACATGTTTGGCTATATGGCCGGGACATTACTGCAATATTGCATAGTGTGGCTGCTATTGTTTGCAATGTTGCCGGCCACAGTGTCGCAGCCATCAATTGCAGCAAAACATGGCCCGTTTAGACGCGCCATAAGGCACACTTTAAATATTAAAATTATATATTGTCCCGACGTAACAGTATTGAGTTTTGTGTAGTCCGCTAACCCTCTTCTCCCTAATTGGAAATGGGGCAGACTTTGTATTATTGATCATATTTCAAGATAGGTGATCTGCCTTTTGTGTCTAGCAAGTGAAAATTATTATTATTTAGCGCGAAACCTTCTATCTAGAGCGATCTATATGCAAGCGTATTGTATATATTTTCACTTAGTAATTCTTTTTTGGGAAAAGGGATTCTCTTCTTTAATAAAATCCCAGAGGCTGCTTTATCTCTACCTTTTAATAAATTTAAGAAATGTATTAAAGAAAGGCTGTGTAAAAAGGCTTACTATAAAGTTAACGATTATCTAGTTGATAAAAGGACCTGGGACAGACTACTTCTAACGATATTTGTTTTAAAATAAGTGTTGTTTAATGATTTGCTATTTTAAAAGAGTACCGAGAGTTTTTTACGCCGGCTTTTTCTCTCGGCCTACACCTTCTGTCTTCTTTGCCGATGAGTAGGTATGCCTACAGATTCAAATTTAATGACGTGGAATAAGTGATACCTGTATCTTATGTTCCATAATAAACATATTTTATTTTATTTATTGGAAAATTATAATTGTCGCGACAGCCGAGATATAGCATCTAAAAATAATGGTACCAACCAGCAGTCTGTTTTGTTTAATCAGTACAATATTGCGAGTTAAGGACTTTTACTATTGAACTCTCACATCTGCCGTTGTTTAAACATTGATCGAACTAATCGCGTTAACGTATAGTTGTAATGTAAAATATTAACGTCACGGTTAATAGCTACAAAGACTTCGACTTTTGAACTTGGGGTGAATATTTTAACACTAAATCGATATCCCTGCGAGGGGTTTAACTTTAAACCAATTAATTTATTGTGTCACGGTCAGTGGCTATTGTTTTCGATTGACGCACCCTCTGTAAAAGGAATAAATCAATGTAGCTAACGCGTATTTCTTATTGGTATTTTTTGCCAAGTCACATGCTTAGCACAAACTGTTCGTTACTTTACTGTTATATGACAGTTATCAACACGATTTATGTTTAAGGGAACTATATGTACATTTAGTGTTGCTGAATTTTTCCTTATATACATATAATTGGGAATCTATTACATCATTTAAAAAAATACTGGCGCTACAAACTTTTAGGTCTGGGCCGTAGATTTGTGTATCTGTTACGTGATCATTGATATTCTGCCACACACAATGGCGCGCTAATTTGTCTTAAGGAATTACATTATTAGTCAAAGTCAATTCTTATATTATCTCTATCGTACATATCATACTTTATTAAATTTATATCAATTACAGTGTCTCATGCAAATAATCATTTATTGAATAGTACATTTTTTCCAAAAGTAATACACTAAGTCGCTTTTTAAAGACTAGTCGGAAGATCTTTTAATTCTTTTGGAAATTTATTGTAAAGTTTAATTTCCATACAAAAGGTGTTTTTCTGAAACAGTTCCAGATTAATTTTTGGCACAGCCAATTTCTCCCCATGTCTACTTCTTACTTCGACTTCTACATTCGTATTAAAAATATGTATGTTTCTGTGCACGAATAAGGAAACATACATATTCTAATAGGCCAAGTAGGTGATCAGCTTTCTGCACCAGACACCTGCCGTCTACTTTTGCCTCTAAGGTTTCCTCACCATGTTTTCCTGCACCATATATAATATAAGCGAAGTATTAAACGGACGTAGAAAATCCATTGGCGCACTTATCACATAATTAAATGGCGATATTTTTATCGACAGCAAACCATAGAAGAATTCGCAACTCGCGTCGGTCAGCAGGCTGTGGTACTGGTAGCGACCCCCGGCAAACCCAACACATCGTATCGAGTTTTCGGTGCAAAGCCGCTAGAAGATGTGGTGCGAAATTTGCGCTGCATGATCATGGAGGAGTTAGAGAATGCGCTTGCACAGCAGGTACTACATACACATACAGAATCTCAGATGTAGTAAATTCTCTTTCTGGATTAAGACTTTGAATAAGTACCTACTAGAATGTGATACATATATCCATATTCGTTCATGTTTTATATGGGAATACTTTGAATAATACTGGAAATAATTTCTGAAAGTATAGGAGCTCCATTCCTCATTCCTGCTTCATGAATATAATAATTTAAAAAAAATAGACTAGACTAGATATTTGAATGTATATTATCAAGAACTAATGACTTCTATAACGAAATATTAGACTAAAAATTTAAAACGTGGATTAAATTTACAATAAAAGTTAAATCATAATATTAAAAAATTGTTATTGTTGGAAGGCATTTTTTCTTAGTTTCACAGTAGTAAATAACTGCACCAAAATTTGGTAATAATTTTGAACTGAGGTATTTCCCATTTAACACTCTGAACCGCATCGTTCTGCTTCTGCTTTATAAAAACATTTAAGCCAATTGAGAAATCACAAAATTTAAAAATATCTATCATATCCTTGATAACGATGCGGATACGGAACATGCTATCCACGAAAGCGGGCCCAGCTCTTGTGTAAATGTAGGAAAAAAATAATTTTCGCGAAAGAAACTAGGGGAAAATAAAACGGGTTGTTAGTGATAATTTATATCGGGCGCGTGTTCGTGGATGGTATACGCTTTGTACAAGCGTGTTGGTGGCGAAATAACTCTTCAGTTCGGGCTGGGCTCGGGCCCGCAGGCGCCGCCGCCGCCACAAGATGACCCTTCGCTGTTCGAGCTGCCGCCTCTCATCATCGACGGCATCCCCACGCCCGTCGAGAAAATGACGCAGGCGCAGCTTCGCGCCTTCATTCCGCTCATGCTTAAATACTCTATGGGTGAGTCACTTTACTAGAGATTTAAAAAAATACTATTTCAGTGCGAGGTTTCGATAGTTTCAAATAGTGAGTGACTTAAATGTAACTTTCGTAGAGTAGAACGAATAAAATTCCGATTTCTTCAACCTCGGTTTAGAACAGTTGATAGATGGAAAGGACTATGTCGTCACTGTAGAATGATAACCTCGTATGTCAAAAAACTGTCTGCGTAAAAACATAACAAATAGGTGCAGGAGAAATGTAGCTAAACAACGATCTTAGGCAAGCCTTGAGTACCGATCCCTTTATTAAATTAATTTTCAATATAATGTAAATGTTTACGGCATAGTTAACCTTGATAAAGATGCACTTTCAAGAATGATTACGCCATGCATGTAGGTATCTACAAAACCATTTTTTTTTATTCTTAGACTCTTATGTCATTTAACTGGTATAATAATAAAGTAAGGACTTATTTATGTTATTAATAAATAAGTACCATAAAACTATGGACAAAGCACACAATAATATTTTAACGAACATCGACGAAATTAACAATTTTTTTCGTTTCCTGTAATGTTTGGTTCTCTGCACATACGAAGTTATCATTCTACAGCGACGATATAGGAATTATCATGTTAAAAATACACATTTTGACACATTTTGGATTTGACATTTTATATAAAACTGTATGTTTGGCAAAAAACATCGCGACGGTTGTTTTTGTTTAAACTTTTTGATAATTATTATCTTAACAAACAGAAGTCCTTTAGGACTAAATAAGCCACCATCAATTAAATATAGCCACCGTATTAAGTGTTCATTCTTATTTAGAAAAAAAAATAAACCACGTAATTCAAAAAACGGGGGGGGGGAGGAAAAAAAAAAAAAAAAAAAAAAAAAAAAAAACCGCAGAAAAAAAAAAAAAACGTGATCCATGTCAGCAGTTGGTTGATGTTGAGATACTTTGTTTTTGCGCAAGGCGTTGTTTTTTGTTGATCGTGTCATTTGGATGTCTAGAAATTTCTAGAATGTTTTAAATAAAATGATTATTTCTAAACACAGTTCGCGGAAAGCCTGGCTGGGGTCGTGAATCGACGCGTCCGCCTTGGTGGCCCAAGGATCTGCCCTGGGCCAACGTACGAATGGATGCGCGATCGGAGGACGAGAAACAAAAGGTGAATATAAAGAACATGTATAAAAATAGTTTAATATATATTTAATCCACATTTGTATGTGATTGTAATTTATAGATTTTATTATAATTTTATCAAAGACAAATATGTAGCTTCATAATCATTACTTTAAAAAAGCATTTTGTTCAAAAACAAGCTTGAGTTGAACCAATCAAAATATTTTAACGCGATTTTCCAAAATTCTTTTTCGATTTATGCCTTTGTTTTACAGATGCTGCGGTCACTTTTCTCGACCATTCTCACCATTGATTTGGTAACTAGCAACTATAATTTGTTTTTGTGTAAAATTGTACGTAAATTTACAGATGTCATGGACACACGCGCTCCGTCAGATAGTGATTAACTGCTACAAGTATCATGGGCGAGAAGATCTTTTACCTGCCTTCACTGAAGATGATGATGATAAGCATACGAGAGCGTTGTCGCCATCTGTACGTATATTATACGAAGTCACACAAACCGAATTCTCAACAATTATAAATGTCAGTACTTTCAGACCACTCTAATAATATGATAAAGCTTTAAAATTTTAGATGATTAAGACTTAAGTGTGTTAATCATCTAAAAACGTGGGTGGAGATTTCTTGCTAATTTTATTTATTTACTAATAATAACAAAACTTTCCCTTCTGCCTCAAAATTGGAATGCTGCTAACTGGATTTGGTATTATTACAACAAAAAACTAAAACTACTAGTCGTCACAATGTATGCCTAGTGGTAGTTGCAACTCGAGTGGTTCGGGCAAGCACAGCTCACAGCAAGCAGTGCTTACTTCGCAGCAAGTCTGCATTGATCAAATGACACTCGCCGATGTCGATGTATGTGATTTGATTAATTACGTGGTGATGTTAAAAAGATATACTTATCGCAAATACAAGTTTAAATTTAAGTCCGACCGATTTTTTCCTAATTTTTGAATTAATTTCAAAATAAACACCCTAAATTTTTTATTTTTCATGTTTTTTTTAATTAAAAGTAAACAATAGAAATTATAAACACAAATTAACGTTTAAGAATAATCAAAATCGAAATTAACGAAATCTCGTTTTGATAGATTTTAGGTCAAATTTGATAAATGCTGAGTGTATGCCTTTTCAGTAGCATATTGCAGTATTTTTGTTGTCTTTTTAGTTGTATGTAGTCTTGTGCTGCTGAATAACTTTATTTTACTTTTAAATTATAGTTTTATCATCCTTTCGATGTTTTACAAAAAAACAATACATCTTCAAAGAATCGGATTCAATGTATCGCATTGTAAACATCGTTGTATATCGATTATCCCTAATAGTTCGAGGTCCGGGTTATAAAAGACCAGACATAATGTCGGGAGGTGGCAGATAAAAAATCGACTATGATTGATTTTCAATTATAAAAATAATAGATTTTTTTAATAATCGATTATTTTTTTCACATCCCTAAAACCTACCCACCTAGGCCTAAGTGTATTTATTTGTAATATTCAGAGCCGAACATTATCCATATTCCATATTAATCTTAATATATATAAATTACGTGTCACGTTGTTTGTCCGCTATGGACTCCTAAACTACCGAACCGATATCAATCAAATTTGCACACCGTGTGCAGTTTGATCTAACTTAAAAGATAGGATACCTAACATCTCAATTTATACCCGCAATATTATTTTATTGCAAATATTTGTTTATTATTTGATACAATTCTAACAGATGGCGCTGTGTTAAACGTACCAACGTTTCACATAAGCTATCTACCTTTCACATAAGTTCTCCTACCGTTTCCCTTGAATAGTTTACTACTATGTAATATAACAAAAACCTTAGCTACAGCAACGCTTGGCCGAGTCTGCTAGTAAATATTATAAAGAATTAAAACTAATATATTTTTAGATTGATTTAGATATCATTTTCAATAAAATCTCTAAGTAGCATCTGTTTAGTTTAGATATACTATGGGGTTTGATTTGAGATTTCTTAAAATATTTTTGTAAATAGATAATTACATATTACTTATATATTCTTACTAATATTATAAATGCGAAAGTGTTAAGTTTTTGGGAATCGTTTTTTACTCGTGGTAATTATAATATTAAGATATCGAGCGCTGGTGCTAAAAACCGTAGATTTCGCGTCTCAATGGAGCAACTGACTAAACAAACGTGTGCTCGAAGTTCGAGTGAGATGAGACGGACGATACAGTGTTTCGCGGAACAAAAATGAAGTAAACGCCGATTGCTTTTGTTAAAATAACTAACCATAAAATATAATATACAATATTTACTATCACTAGTAACAGCTCTCAGCCTAACTAATGTGCTCCATAATATGATGTAATTAGACAAAAGTTAGAGGTGACTTTGTACCAAAGAATTTGTATTATGTTTTTAATTTGAGCCAACCATTGAAATTATACTGAATTATTAATTCATATCTGTTTGATTGATTATTTGTGTGATTATTTTTTTCGTGATATATAAGTAGGATCAGCCTTCTTTGATTTTTAAGTCCATGGCATGCCGGTTTGCCTACAATTTTTTCCTTGATCGTACGTGTTGATATAATTCCATTGATGCACAGCCGGAATTCCAACCCTGGACCTCAAGATCGAGAGGCCCACACTCAAGCCACTAGGCCAACACTGCTTTTATAACATTAATAAGTATTAATATTTAAATTTAGATGTCTCAGTACGCGCCAGCAGTTCTTCAAACAATAACAAACCCAGATGGTTCAGTCTCGTTGATACAAGTGGACCCTAATAGTCCAATCATCACATTGCCTGATGGAACAACTGCGCAAGTTGTAAGTATTTTGACTATTAAATTATTTGTTATTCTTCTTTGATGTCTTCAATGTTCGTATAAGACAGTTGTAATCCTTTAAAATATACATTTTTCATCCAGTAATTTTAAAGAATTTTCCATTTATCGTGCCTCTGTGTTTTTAGAATATACCTATAAAAATTCATTAATATTAGGTCCTTACATATGAAATTGGCGTATTTCGTACTGGCCACTTTAATCACGATGTTCTCCTCTTTGGTAAGGAATTCCAAATTAAAATTTGCAGCTATTTACTCATGTATTTGTGCTTCGATGACCGTCATTCATTTGTTTTTTCTTCTGTTTTTTTCTGTTTGCGTCACTCATTTTACAAAATGGAAAACTTAAAGTATCGCATTATTTACGAGTACGAGTTCCACCGTGGCACTAGTGCTGCGGAAACGACTCGAAGGGTGAATGATGTGTATGGCTGTCATGTTGCAAAAGAAAACACAGTTCGTTTTTGGTTCCAACGTTTTCGTTCTGGAAATTTCGACCTGCAGAACAAGCCCCGTGGACGGCCTGAGACCCAAGTTGATAATGAAGTATTGAAGGCTATTGTGGAAGCGGATCCATCGCAAACCACGTCCGAGTTAGCTGCAGGCTGCGGTGTTAGTGATAAAACTGTTTTAATTCACTTGAAGCAAATTGGGAAGATTAAAAAGCTTGAAAGATGGGTACCTCACGAATTGACTGAAGCAAACCGGCAAACGCGCGTCGACTGCTACGTTACATTACTGAACCGGCACAATAATGAAGGTATTTTAAACCGATTTTAAACCTGTGATGAAAAATGGATTCTTTACGATAATCGGAAACGCTCAGCGCAATGGTTGGATCCTGGCCAGCCAGCCAAATCCTGCCCCAAGCGAAAACTAACCCCAAAAAAGTTACTTGTAAGTGTTTGGTGGACTAGTGCCGGTATTGTTCATTGCAGTTTTCTCAAATCTGGCCAGACTATTACGGCTGATGTCTATTGTCAGCAATTGCAAACCATGATGGAAAAGCTAGCGGCTAAACAACCTAGGCTGGTCAATCGCTCCACGCCACTGCTACTTCACGACAACGCTAGACCACACACTGCACAACAGACGGCTACCAAATTAGAAGAGCTTCAATTGGAATGTCTAAGACATCCTCCGTACTCCCCGGACCTTGCTCCAACAGATTACCATTTTTTTTTCGAAATTTGGACAACTTCTTGCAAGGGAAAAAAATTAACTCTGATGGGGCAGTCCAAATCGCCTTTACAGATTTTATTGATTCCCGTCCGACTGTTTTTTTTAGTAAAGGGATCAATGAACAACCTATAAGATGGCAAAAGTGCATAGAAAACAATGTTTCATACCTTGATTAATTAAATATATTATATTTAAAAATATTCGACTTTTTGTTCCTCCCATACAAAACGCCAATTTCATATGTAAGGACCTAATAAAATATGATCGCCACATATAACTTATATACTCGTATGTGACTAGTCACAGCTTGCTGTGCCCTATAGTTTTAATCACATTAATTCTTCCTGGATAATCTGATTAACACAGAATTATTAAAAAAATGCAATTTGAAAGAGTAGTCACAAATAAAAAAAAACGACGGGTTGCACTCCGGGAGTGCCGGCAGAAGTGAAAACTTGAATATTAATGTTGTGCATTTTTGATATTAATATTAAAAAAAAAAAAAAATATAATTTGCATGTAGTAAATTTTTTGAACTTTTTTCAATCAATATTTTTAATCAGGGTAGTATTATATATGTATCACTATAACCTTCTTTTATACTAAAGATGTATATATACTTTAGTGTCACATAAAAAATGTACACATAAATAATTAATTGATTCAAAACAACCTAACGTTTACATATTCTATGGGCTTCATACTTTCGATTGGTATAGAATTTATCTTATAATCATACCGGTGAAATGTTTAAAAAAATATTTTTTTTTTAAATTAATTAAACATACTCTGGACTGAAATTTGCTAGGCAACCCATATGGATTATATTTATTGACATATTAAATTATATTTAAAATAAGTTTCATTAAATAAGCATCTCGGTGAAGGTCGTTGTATAGCGGGATCTTAGACCATAAGGGAATAATTTTGCACGAATTGCTTTAATTATCAGTATAAAAGTACTATCATTTATGTGGTAGAATACAATATTTATTTATTGCGCTATCGTACACAAACATGAAAATTTATATTAAATTAAATACGCCGCGCCAGCTGTCTACTCTCTATCCGTCTTACGAATTTTCAATCAGGTCACGTGTCCTGACGCGAGTTTATCATTTATTACCCATTCCAAAAAAAGTGTACAGCTTTCCTCGATTAATGACACAAAATTTAAACAAAAAATGATTATTTTTTAAAATCGAATCATTAAATTAAGCGCTTTAAATTCCTAAATTTGCAACAATATTATCTAACTTACAAACAATTAATGTTTTTTTTTGCAGATTCATAGTACAGATGGCGGTGCCGTGGTAAGCGGAATGAATGTTAGTGGCTTGGACGGTGAAGGCGTCTCTGTAGACCTCAATGAAGCTGGACTGAATTCTGACACGCAGATTATCCTCACCACTGATGATGGACATGGTAAGATTGTATTTAGTGCGTATGTATTATAATAATAATTTATTTTATTTATTTATTCCACATCATTATTCTATATTTACCTATAGTTATTACTAATGATAGAACGACACATTAATTATCCCCACACCAATTAACCTACATACAAAAAAATTATAAAAATGTATTTATATACCTAAAATCTAAATCTTATAATTCCGTAACTCTGTGATTTTTTATATACGAACTAATATGTTCTCACTCCAGTATATCTCGGAGTTCGGTTTGCCTCTTGGCAAAGGACTCCTCTAACGCTTTCCACTATTCTCTATCTTCTGCGACTCTTCTCCAGTTGTAGCCTGCTGTTTGTTTCAGTTCGTCTTCCCATCTCTTGCGTGGTCGGACTCTTCTTCGTTTTCTGTCTCTAGGGTACCATTCCGTCAATATTTTGCTCCATTTTTCTTGGGAGCTCCGTAGCATATGTCCCGTCCATCTCCATTTCATTTGGTCTATCTTAGTGAGAATGTCTGTCACACCTGTTCTCGCTCTTATGTCTGCGTTTATTGTTTGTCAAATTTTCTTATGCATTACATTTTAGTTTTTATTACAAAATGTGTTTTTTGTTATATATTTTCTTTGTCTAATTCCTCGAGTATATTTTTTGTCGGAGGTATATGTATATTCAATAGAAAATAGAGTTTTAAATTTCTGTTAACAGCTATTTGAATTATATTGACAGAATGTTTTAGTTTTAGTCTCCATAACTTTTATTCCAATACGTGTTTATGTAGACTGGTATTCGCAAATATTTAAAGTAAATTTAATTTGTTATGTTTCACATTATGATATCAGATTCTTAACAAAGGCAGTACTGGGTGTGACTTGGCTTAGTTATTAAATAAATATGACTATTAAATAAATGACATATAAATTAATTATTATAACATTGCTTTAGACAAGATACTTGTTTATTTGGTTTGTGTTATGATTTGCAAAGAGATAGATAATCAAGCGACATGATGAGTCGATGAAAAATTTTATTCGCATTTAGCTCTACTTTTTTTGCTATATTTGCTATACTTCCCGAAAGTATTTGTAATATTAGTTTGTATACACTATTTTGTTGCAAACGTTAGAACATTTATCATCTTTATTTCATTTGTGTGTGCATAAGTAAAATGTATTTGAACTCCTTGCAGGTTACCCGGTATCCGTGTCGGGCGTTATAACAGTGCCGGTGTCGGCCTCAGTCTATCAATCAATGGTTGCTTCAATGCAACAGCAAGATGGCGTCTGCGTCGCACCGCTTGTTCAGGTCACAAACAGCAAACATTCACGCACGCATTCGCGTATACGCACGCTTACACCCGACGAACACACGTACACGCCCGCTGTCGATTTGCATACCTATATTAAAGTTGAAGTAGTTTAAATATGTACATCTCATCTGATGACTTAAATATGCATTTTGAAATTTTTGCTTAAGATATAAAAACTTAAATTAATATATCAAATTACAAGTAGTTTGAATGTATGAGAGTAGTATTATCTTAATAAAAGTTTAAACATTTCAACACATTGTGTGTTGTGCATATCTAGCTTGTATTGATTGTACTTTATTATTATATCGGTAAAGTTTTAATCGCTTTTCTCATGCCGGAACTATATTTGATAAAAACTACAAGTCGTAACAATTACGACCGATATTATAAATATAGAACCCGGGCCAAAACCCAGTTGACAGTAGTGCTATGCTAATTCATACAGATGCCAAAAACGTGCTTTTAGTGGAGCTTGTTATTTAGTTTATAAATTAGTGAGTGGACTTAAATGTTGGTATAAACAGTATTTTGTAATAACCAAAAAGTTACCGATTTTTTTCTAGTCGCATAGATTTAACAGATTTTGTATTCAATTGTGCCATTTCAATAGATATAGTTGAAATTCAATATATCATAGAAAAAATGATATTCTAACGAGTTAACTGTTAATCAATGTTCTAAAAAAAAAAATTTTCCTTTAATTTATGTATTAATAATAAAATCTACGACTTGTAGTAAAAACGATTGGTATTTTGGATGTCCAACCCCGTCTTGTGTTGTCAAAAATATTCTCTTTCTTAATAAACAACAGATTATTGAGCTAATTCTGAACTAATTAACATAATTGTATCAAATTTGTCAGATATGTTAAATATAGCATAAAAATATATACGTTCAAGATATAGTTCAGACTTGGCTATATTTTTTGAAGTACATTAATATCAAACTATGTTTTAAATCGTCCAGTTTCATATGTGATTTTCATACTGAGTTGTGCGTGCTCGTGATGTTTTAGCTATTCTTATTATGTTTATTTATGAGTGCAACCAGCTTAAAACGCTTTACTGATATTTTGTTATCACTTATTTAAATTATTTTAGTATTACCGAAGCGAAAAAAATTCACATCGCAAACACATTTCTTATAAATTTAAAAAAGGATCTATTAAAATCTCAAAATGCCGACTTTTATTTATCATAAGCGTAACGTAAAATCTATAGCCCATTGTATGACCAGACCACCACAAGATTTTATTAATTTCAATTTTCGCAAATATTAAATAGTTTAGTTCTTTTTGTTAGTGTAATGGAACTAAACGGAACGGACACGATTAATTCATTCGAATGAAGAACGTGTAGTGTTCAACATTGTATCGAATCAAATTCCTTTTGATAAAATAGATTAGATTAAAATTGCCCTAAAAATAATAATATTAATATTATTTGTGTTGATTGGTATTGCAAAGATAATGTAATAAACATGTGTATATATAAATTATTTATTTATATATATGGGCCCATAAAACTTTTCGTCTGTGTTTGAAAGCGTCTTAAACTGGTTTTACTGTGTTATTATGTGTGGCGATCTCATTACGTAATTACTTATTTGCCTGCACACATTGATATATTTTTTAGTTACAAATTTTATTAATAATTTTGTCAATGTACCAGTGCATTAAATTGTTTTTAAGTTTTAATTATGTTAAGATTAAGTTGCATGTTTAAGCAGTTTTTAGTTTAGTTTAATTTTCCAAATTTTATTGAATATTATTTATTGCTTGGCATAATTTAATATTTTGTGCATTCAGTGTAAGGTAAGAAAAAGCTATTATTGGAATTGCCATTTTTGTGTTACTTTTTGTTTTGCCAGGTAGTGGTTTGCGACGTTTGAATGAATAAAATATTTAAGTACAATTTTAAATAAATTTATTATTTTGTATAAATTTAAACTCACGTCACGTAAATGTGAAAAAAAAGTTATTTAAAATGAATACAGAAAGAATAGATTTATTTATTTAAACGTCTGTTTGTTAAATTGTTTATGTTTGAGAGTTTATAATTTATGTTGAGTTTTTAATGAGTACTCGTATAAAAAAAGAGTACAGCTTGTTTTTTAAAATACGGAAAAGGCACTAAGACCTTAGAATACAGACTCTAAATTGAAATATGTGGTTTGACAAGTACAAAGGTATTTGCGATTAGATACAGAAAAAATGCATGTTACAATTTTCTTTAATTTTTATGATTTATAGCTTCTTCTTTTTACGAGTGCTCATATTATTTTGTGTCAATAAACGCTGTGATTCTTTTACGTGTTTTATTTGTTTGTATAGTAGTGCCTGCAAGTGCGTCTAGTGTAATTGCTACTGTGTACTAAGGTGTGTATTTTTGCCTTTTTTTCTTGTGTGTAGGGATTTCTATAAGAAATACATTTAATAATTTCGATTTTATAAAACCATATCGTTTAAATTTTGTTTATATCTCGGTATTGTGTTATATGTACTATATTTATTTGGCTTGAATCATTCATGACTTAACTAAAATCTTTGCAAATACTATGATTTTTTTTAACAGGTTTGCAGCGGTTACAGACTAAATTTTTGTAATATTTAAATGTTATTGATCTCTGAAGTTTCGTTAAGGTACATAACTTATTTGGGGGATTCTGGTTGATTCCTTAGTGATGGTGCGGGTCAGGAAAGCTAATTAACTTAATGTTCTAATAATAAATTACACACGTCGAGATGTGCATAATATCATTTGTCATAGTTCAACGCTGATAGTTTTTTTGTTTTTGTTCCACTGAATTATTCCAATATAATAAACTATTCTTTATAAAAATAATGGAAGAAAGAAGTAAAACCCATTTAAACCATAAATATCAAAACTGAATTTTTTTTTTTGTCTGGATTCCAGAATTTATATTCTCGCTCTGCGACCCAAATTGCGTCTAACAATAAGTTAAACCTTATTCATTCAGGTGGATCAGAACGGCGAAGGTCTGGAAACGATTTCAATGGGCGGGGGCGTGGCTCAAGTGATGTTGCAGCATGGTGGGGAAGGCGGTCAAGTCTTGCAAGTACTGAGTTTAAAGGACGCGACTGCGCTCACCAAGGCCATGGTAAAAAATTTATGTATAAATTAACGCTTTTCTGTGTAGTTTTGGGATTTTGTTGAGGGAGAGTTCTCTTATATAATTTTACGTAATACGCACCAGGGAGCGGCTTAAGTTGCCTTTAACATTCCCTTTTTTTACCCTTCGTAACTGTTACGTTATATAAACTTTATAAAGTAAAGTAAAAAATCATTTAATCATGTACGTAACATAATGTACACTTATGTCTCGTCAATAAAGAAATACATATTAATGGTTCTAATTTTACATTTACTGCCAGTTCTCAAATCAAGGGCGTAGAACGGAAGAGAAGAACTGGCAATAAACTCTCCGCCACTCTTTTAATAGCCATTTTTTTTTACACAACGTTTGTAAGGACCTGCAACTATTAGAACATGTTCCACATGTCATATCAAGTAATTAATAATAATAACATAAATTAAAAAAAACAAAGACTTGTCCTCTATCAGCAGGAGGCATGGTGAAATAGGAGCACGCACTTACATTCTCGTGGTAACGACACGCAAACACATAGTCGAAATAAGCAACATCACCGCATACACGAATTCTAGTACTGGTCGTCACCACAAGCAGCACCCGTTCACGAGCATGACGCATGGCCAGCCATCATAACTACGCGCAAACATATTTTAAAAAAAAAAAAAAAAAAAAAAAAAAAAAAAAAAAAAAAAAAAAAAAAAAAAGCACAAAAAAAAAAAAGAGGGGCGCGGGGGGGGGGG